GCCGTCAGCCCCACAATTCCCAGGCTGTGGCCTGGGGACGGCGGGGGCCCCCGGTCGGGCTCAGCACCTTGCTGTAGAGGAAGCGCTGGAGCTCCAGCTCGGCGATGCCCAGCTGCCCGTCCTCCTCGGTCAGGCGCCAGCGTGCCTGGGCAAAGTAGAACTCGGTCCGTCGTGCCACGCTCACGTCCTCCGGCTGCTTCCGCAGCTCCATCTTGTTGGCTCGCTGCAGCTGGAAGTCCTTGAAGCACCTGCAGCAGAGAGGGAAGCGCTGGGATGTGGAAGCTCTGGAGCGAGGAGGATGCTGGGGAAGCCAGAGATGGCCCCTACCTGATGAGGATGTTCAGCTCCTCGCTCTCCAGCTGCAGGTCAGCCTTCTCCTGGCTCAGCTGCTGCTGCAGCCTGTGGTTGAGGTCGAGCAGGATCTCGTTTTTGCTGTCATCCTGCAAGGACTGACGGACAGACAACCCTCAGCCCCGGAGCGAGGGATGCCGGGGGAGCCAGGCCCTGCAGGGATGCACCTCACCTTCACGTTGGAGTACATCTGCTTCTCCAGCTGCCGGATTTGGGCGACGTGCTGCCTCACGGCCTCTTGTAGGTGTAGGATACTGCTCCGCTGCTCCTCGGGGTTGCTGGAGATCTCCAGCTGGAAGCGCACTCGTTGTTTCTTCTCGCTGTGCTCCTGGACACGGGGATAGGGGAAGGTTAGGCTTGCCCTGGGCATGGTGGGTGGTGTGGTGACCCGAAGCCTCGCGGGTACCTTGCGCTTGGGCTCCACGTGCAGCAGGAGGTTGTTGACGATGTCAAGGATCATGGCGTACTGCGCGGGGTTGGTGGAGATCTCCAGGTCGTGGTGGATCAGCGTGAACGTGTCCACAGCTCCTGCAGGGACGCACGAAGGGACCTCAGCGTGGCCAGGAACGGGGGCCAGCCAGAGAGGGATAGGGAAGGAGCCAAGGCGGTTTTGCTGGCTCCAGTGGGCACAGCACATCCAGCATCATCCGGTGCACTGCCACAGGGCTGCGGATCCCTCGGATTTCCACAGGGTCAAGACAAACCTTCCCTGGACTTAGCTGGCACCTGTGGGTCAGCCTAGAGCTCTGCTCCCCCCGGAGGCACAGGGCCTGGAGGTACCCACCCTCCTGCTTCTTCAGCAGATCCTCCTTCTCCTGGTTGGCAGGAGCCTCGGGGGGCTTTATCTGTGTGGCCAGCTCGGGGTCGATGTCGTGGCTGTAGCTGATGTAGTACATGCGGCAGCTGCAGCGGGAGATGATCCTCTGCACTTGCTGCGTCTGCTGGGCTTCCGAGGGCTGGTTCCAGTCTGGGGACAGGTGGGGGGACACACCACAGTCAGAGCGCTGAGTCCCAGCACGCTGGGGACCCCACGGCACAGGGCTCGGAGCATCAGCCGGCTCCTGGAGCCATCCGGGGCCAGGCGAGGCACTCGCAGCTTCACCAGCCTCGGGGTCACCCGCGGGGGTTCTGGGGTAGGGACAGCAGCCAGCACGGTGGGCAGTACCTGTGGTGGTGCTGACCATGCCCCCCACCGCCTGCCCACTCTCCATCAGCTCCTGCACCGAGTCCAGGCTCCGTTGCCGATGCTCCTCGATGTTTTTCACCTGGGGAGGCAACGAGGCATCGCTGGTTGTCCCTGCCCTCCTCCCCGCCT